AAAAATAAATATAAATTTACTTATATCAATATCGGTAAATATGCAATTAATAAAAATTAATCTATACATACCGGAAGGATTATTTGACCCTCCTGTTACAATAGTGGTAGCTGGTTGTAAAAAAACATATAAATAAAAATTTACTTATATCAATATCAGTAAATATACAATTAATAAAAATTAACCAATACAGACCAGAAGTAGGAGGAATACCTGACTCTACGGTTGCAAGGGCGGCTGGTTGTAAAAAAAAAATAATAAATATAAATTTACTTAAATTAATATCGGTAAATATGCAATTAATAAAAATTAACCTATATATACCAGAAGGATTATTCAACCCTCCTATTACAATGGCTACAGCTAGTTGTAAAAAAAAACATATAAAAAAAATTTACTTATATCAATATCAGTAAATATACAATTAATAAAAATTAACCGATATATACCAGAAGTAGGAGGATTATTTAACCCTTCGGTAGCAAGGGTGACTGGTTGTAAAATATATATATATATAAATTTACTTATATCAATATCAGTAAAGATACAATTAATAAAAATTAACCTATACATACCAGAAGTATTTGACCCTCCGGTGGCAAAGGTGGCTAATTGTAAAAAAAAATCGATATATATAAATAAAAATTTTACATATATCAATATTAGTAATATATAATTAATAAATTAACTGGCTTCTTACTTGTTCCACCGGTATTGATCTCTCTTTGTTTGCCTTTGCTATATTTATTAAAGGCAGCTGGTTGACCAAATTTTTTTTTTTTTATTAGTTTCATTACTTAGTTATAATTAAACCAATAAGGCTATACAAACTTAATTACCTGGGGATGACTGGGCAACATCAAACTTTATATAAACTTTCTTGCCCCTATTTCTTGTTACATATTTTTTTTTAGGTAAATTAGTGCTCGGCCCAGCAATGGGCTCGTAGTCACTATCGGCTATTGTTTCATCATTGCTATCGGGTTCTGATATGAGATCATTTTATTATTTTCTGTATCACAGCCAAAATATATCTGGGAGATCATCCAGTTTGGGGTGTTGGGTGGTGGGTTAGAGGTTCGGTCCACCAAAAAAGGACCATTTTTCCATCAGAATCGGTCTGTGTCCTTAGTGCTTCTTGCAGCTACTACTCTTTCCGATGCCTACAAAATTTCTTTAAGCTAAAGAGTGAAAATATTTAAGTAAGTTAAAAGAAAAAATAAAAATAAAAAAAGAAACAAAAAAAAAACAAAAAACAAAGAAACAAAAAAAAAACAAAAAAAAGTAACAAAAAAAAAACAAAAAAAAAAAGTAACAAAAAGTAACAAAAAAAAAACAAAAAAAAAAGTAACAAAAAAGAAACAAAAAAAAAGTAACAAAAAAGTAACAAAAAAAAAAAAAGAAAAACAAGAGAAAAAAAAAAAATCAATTTGCATAATGG